TACCAAAACTTTCATTTTCGTTAGTCTTTTAATTTGTTTGAGTCAAACAACAAGTTTTGTGCGAAGAGGATCGGCTCCAAGATTTTTTGGTTTGCAAATTTGCGAAATATTTTTAGACAACTTTCGACTCTTTTGATGGCAGTGTTACACAAATAATAGAGTAAACTATAGACAAGTTTAAGGACAGGTAAGTGAAGGTCACCTAAAAATACCTATAAATATTTGGTCACCAGAAGAACACAAATAATTGTTGATCCGCTTCTCAACTCTTCGCACAAAACTTGTTGTTTGACTCAAACAAATTAAAAGACTAACGAAAATGAAAGTTTTGGTAAGTTTTAAAGTAAAATACATTTGAAGTACTTTTCAATAAAAAAAAGTTGTACAACAGTTGTAAAAAGCTATAAATTACTGATTAATAAGTAATACTGTATTTGATTGAATTAATAATGAATAGCTTGTATTGGCATTTCTGGCGATGGCTGCGGTGGTGTCGGGCACTTATATAGTGGGCAATGGTCTGTACGGCTATTACGGTGACTGGTCTTCGTTGGGCGTAAACCGTGTCAACTATTATCCGGTCAGTTATGGCTATTCTTCGTCATATGTGGTGCCGTCCTATCGATATCAATACGTGCCGACAGTACCCGTTGTCTACGATTGGCTTAAAAAATAAACTCACAATTTGTCTCATCTAATGGTCTCTTAAACGGTACAAACTATTTCTGTTCATCTGATGATTGGTTTTGTAAGCAAACAATTTATTTCAAATAAAAGTTAAGCAAAATTGCAATAAATTGTGTATTTATTTCATTTTTGTGGTTTTAAATAATTCTACCACGGTCATTTAAAAAATTACTTTCAAATAAATAATCAAACTAATATACTATAATTTTTGTCACTAAACAATTGCGTGAATCCAATCTAATGAATGGTAGTTATTGTCTTGTTTTATCGAACACAAAAGAGCAAAAAAATTACCATGATATAACCTTACCAGTGATAATTGTATTTTAATTTTATGTCTATGCATTTATTCGCAATCGTCTGGTAGACAGCATTTAAATCAAATTATAGTCATCATATAAAACTAATCCCAACCCCAATATCAGTTTTGTGGCTCATTGTCTCAACAAATTTGAAGTATAATACAGTATATGACGAATAAATCATTAAATAAAATATAAGATTGAATATTTTCCATTTGTTTAATACTTTTTAATATATAAAATCGCATTTTAAAGAATATTTAAATACAAACAAATATAAAATATTGAGCATTGATTTGGCATCAAATTGTGTATCAAATAATATAAACGATAACATCTATATTAAGTATGAGAGACTTCGGCATTGAGTTTCAAAAATATAAAATATTAAAAATTGATAATTAAAAAATTGGTTATAAAATCTATTTAAATGATTCTCTAGTTTTTTGGCAAATATAATAGTATTCTCTATAAATAAAACACAAAAACAATAAATGGTTTTAAATTCAAACACTCTGTACGTTATCATTGAAAGTGAATTTAAGTCTTCCGTTATGTGAATGAATTCGTCTGAATTCGCAAACAAAGGACGCATAGAATGGACTCATCATAAATATCATGAGATTCTCGTTGACAGCGCTCACAACGTGCCCGATATAGCCGCCCGTCTTCTCGTCCCACCACAGTCTCGGCGGACCCCGTATTTCACTATAGGGTAGAGTCACGTCAAACCACGTGATACTTATGGACAAAATCATAATTGTGCCAAAAATTATAGCCAAAACCGAGCAAAATAGCCTAAATCGGGCCACGAATATCGAGTTGACAGTCGGTATGAACTGATATGAAGTCCAGGTCTGTATATAGAAGTACCAAATGGAGGCAATGAATGCGGGAAATGCACCAAATATTAGATGGATTTCCAAGTGTTCGGTCGACCGAAAGGCCGCAACCATTGCCACGCTTAACATCACCGCTATTTGCAGATATAGTCCCTGTTTATTATATTTTGTAATTTTTGTCAGTTTATTCTCGTCTATCGTTAGGCTATTGTTATTCTCGTTTGGTTTCGGCATATTGTGGACAATGTAACGGATTTGCTTGTATCGGATCCAACCCATTATCGCAACTGTTTATATATATGGAGATAATATCAATCATAAGTGATGTGAGGACAATATAAATATATTATTTTCATTAAGCTGGTTTTGTAGGACATGTATTTAGAGGCCATGTATTTGGAGGACTTTAAACCATATTAAATGGTCTGCAATTTTAAATCTGCATTAGATTTTCATTTACAAAATCACGTCTTAATGATATTCTCAGACTTTTTAATCATTTTTTCTTAGATTTTTGAATATATAATAAATATAATAATTATGTGTTTTATAACTTTAAGGACAGGTTTGTTTCAATGAATTATAAGTTGCATTGTTTTATGATGTGATGAACAGTGAAGTCATACTTTTTTTTATAAATTATTTACAAACATTTAATTAAATGATTGTCTTATTCGTAAATAAATAAATAATTCTTTGAATTATAAATATAATAAAAATCATAAATAATTGATTAGTATTTTAACGGCGAAAACTTTCAATTATAATTCCCAAAAATATATTTTCATCCTTGAAATTATCTCAAAAACTGCACGTTTTAAACGTTTAATTAACTTTGAGTTCAATTTTGGTGTTTTAAAGACTAATGTATTTCTAATCCAACCAAATATGAAAGTAATTTTAATCTATCAATAATATCACAAATTAATATCAAAAACATTTTAAACCCAAAAAATACAACGAAAAATATATTTCAAAAAATGTATTTTTCAGAAAAGTTTTAAATGTAAAGTGAAATGAATTTTGAGGACAGGACAGGTAATTTCAAGGATCTAAACTGTTTGCACAAAACTATAGCACAAAAAGTTGTCACACAAGTAATTAATCCGACGAACGGTATGATTGTGTGCAGATTTACAATGTATGCACTTTTGTAGACCTCAATAACAAACAAATGAAAAATGTGGCCAAAAATATGTTACAAAAAACCCATAGGAAATGCAGGCAATACTTACTGAGAATCCCCTCTAAAAACAATAGTATTGAGAAGAAGGCCGCCTCCGGATGTGTGGCCCCGGCGTCGCTGATATACGGGAATACGGGCTTTACGTGTCCATAGATTACCGCCAATACATATCTAATTGCATTAAATTTGGTTATTATTGTTTAGTAAAGCATTTAAAACATGGTAATTAAGTTTTGTTTGTTTAACACTTACATAAGCGTGAGTTTGAATGCAAACAATACAGCTATGGATAGCGGTATGAGTGGAAACAAATTCATAATTGGATTGTTATGTGAATTGATTTGTTTGAACACAAACAGCACAGTAACTGTATTTTCACAAAATTAAACAAAAAAATAAATCAATTACTGTTTGAGACACAAAAACAACGCTTTCATCGCATTCTCTGGCAATGGATATGAAAAGTAAATGAATATAAGAAGCGAAACAAGTTTTTCAATGCGATTCCTCTCTCCCAATGAGAATCACTTTTGCATTCAAATGCATTTCAAACGATGTTTTCAATGATACGTTCAATTATTTTTTTCAATACTGATTGTGAACTTCGACAGAGATTTTCATTTGTATAACTTATTATTGTAGATTTTTGGTTAGAAATATCAATATTTGCATTACTTTTATTTGTTATAACTTTTTACTGTCTTTTTTAGAAATATGACAGAATGTAAATTTGACAGAAATATTTGTACAATCAATTGTCCATTTCATCAATGAATATATACAGTAATGTAAAGCATTACATGAATATTGAGGAATCAATTGTTTAACAAATCTCAACAGACCTTGACTTTCAGCTTAAATTTCGGTTAATTATATACAAAAGTATGATATCTTATTTCAATTGTCAATTGTTATTGGGTTTCTTCACTTAATTGCCAACATTTTACAATACTTTCCTTTTTTTTATTTTATTTTGGGGAATTCTGTACATATTTTATTGCATTATAAGTAATATAATACAATTATATTAGAATAAGTTACAATTATTATAGAATTACAATGTATCGTTTACATATTATCTATTACACATTAATAGATAATAATAAATGTTTTATATTAATAATTTTGTGATTCAATTAAATTTTACATTTGATATAGGGTATTTATTTCTAGTTAGACCTCCAATATTGTACACTAAATTATTTGATCGTTTGTTTGTATAATAAATTATGGGAAATGCTATTTCACTGAATTTGTAAACATTAAAAAATATATAACAAATAATAGTTTGTTAAAGATATTCAACCAGATATGCTTTAAATCAAAAAGGGAAACAATTAATTAATTAAATTCATGGTAAAAATAGTATATTTCATAACATAAGTTGGAGTTTGGGATATACTGTACAACGTTGTACAAAAGTACAATGTAATAGTTTTAGTTAATTATCAACCTATTATACAGTATTGATCAAGTGATCATATGATATTGATTTACACTCAATATACAATACATTATATTAATTATAATAATAATATAAAAATATAATTACAAAACTCCTCAATTTATGTCTGGACTGACTATCAGTGATATCGGTTAATACATAATTGATAACAAATATTTACAAATAATTATAATCTATGACATACTGTTTATTGTGAGAAACACTTTATGCAATAAATTTGATGTTATATTCAATTATAGTCAAAATAAATTATGAAAATTCCTAGAATTGGTGAATACAATACTGAGATCTACTATAATTTCTATGATATGTTTATAATTCAATACAATTTTAGTTATAACTAATTGTTTAATAACATATTCCGACAATAGTTATTGTATGGGTGAAGGACTTCTCCCCAAATGAACGCAACATTTAAGGTATTTCACCACACATTGAAAATTTCACCATAATTTTCATAAAGAAATTTTGTTACAACTTTTATTGTCGTTAATTACACACTATTTGTAATCTTATCGATATTTAAGCAAAAATAATAATAAATAATTGATTTAAATTGATAATAAAAAGTGCGAACAATTGAATTAGTGGTCAAATAAATTAATTATTATCACTAATAGGATCGATGCTTTTCCCATACATAAAGAGATACCAAACAATTATTATAGCAATAATAATAAAGGGATTTAGACAGCAATTAGTCATTTCCTCAATTTGTTGCTCTAAATTTGAATGCATTCAATATTTATATATTTATATGAATTCAAAATTTTGTATTTTTATCATAAGTAAAAGTTTTCGCTATTCAAACGTGTAATTTTAATAATAGTTAAGAAAAAATAAGATAATTATATTTTGGATATTTTGCAAACGATAGTCTCATTTCAAACAATTGGAAAGTACTGTAAACTCCTGTTTTTTATGTGATTTTTTCTAAATTATTGTAATTTTCATTTAATTGTTTGTTTGTTTTTGTGATTTTGTTTGCCATACAATCATCAAAATTATACAATCAATTAAGTGGTAGTGATTTTAAAATCACAACTACTTCACCACAGATCAGACTTGTGTATTGTTTTAGTTTGTGCTGAGATTATCAATCAATGATATATTAATAATTAATTTAAATTTATTTATTGTTTTACTAATTTTATTAATCAACAAATAAAATATAGAAATGTATATAATTGTTAAGTATTTGATAATCTTATCAGTAATTCACCAAAACTTATGTCAAATAAAGTTTTTCGATCGTTTCAATGATTGCGGTTTGTATTAAACAACTTTATATCTCATAAACACAAAAGTTTTGCGATAATAGTGGTAATGAAATTTATAATATCGATGGTTAACCAGATTTCAATGATTGCGATAAAACATCACTTTTCGGTGAATGCCATCATTCAACCAAATTTACGCCAAAACAGTTGGAAATCGTCAAAAACTATATCCAAAGACGGTTCGCGTCGACCGACCCGTTGAGACCTCCCTGTAAGACATTACGCGTGAGGAAAGACATCAAATGTCTGTCCAAACGGGAAATGTCTGATTTGATTGACGTGTTTAAGGAGTTGTACGCAAACGGTGTAATGGATTTGTATTCGTTAGTTCACGGCTCGTATTGGCCGTCAATCCATAAGTTTAGCGAAGCTGTTCCGTGGCATCGATGGCATATCAATCAGTTTGAACGCGAAATGAGAAAAATTAACCCTAAGATTACTCTTCCTTATTGGGTATGTATTCAGTGATAAATTTCTAATTATTATTTAGAGATTAAGCTTAAAATGTGATACAATTTTCAGGAATATATCACTGATTTCGCTGCTCCGGAGAAGAGTTCAATTTGGAAGACTTTCGGGAGAGCCGGTGGCCGTCATAACGGGTATTGTGTACCCGACGGCGCTTTTGCCTACCAAAGGGTTCAATACCCAAACCCCCATTGTCTACAGCGACAGTGGAATACCAATAAAACAATGCCTGTTTGGGAACCACCCGAATGGGTCACTTCACTCACACAGACATCCAAGACTTGGGGAGATTTTGCACAATTGCTAGGATATTCCGCTCACTTTAAAATCCATCTACACGTTGGCGGCTATGAGGGAGAGATGAGCGACATTTGGGCCACAAATGAGTAAGTTGTTGAATAATTGTTTTGCCATTTTTAATACTCAACTAATTATATTTGTAAATTAAGTCCCGTTTTCTACATATTTCACGCACATGTGGCCGACTATGCGATATTGAAGTGGCAGTTGGCGGACGACCAGAATCTACTGCCCATTAGTTATAATCAGGGAATGAAACACGACTGGCAAAGGGATGAGATAACCAGCGCTGACATTGAAAACGATTACTTGACTTATTATGAAAAGGCGAGGATTAAAGAGATATTTCAGATCGGTTTCGGCGACATGTGTTATATTCACGACCAATTAGTGCAACCGATACTCGATATTGTGGCTAAAAAGCGGCCAAAATTGCCGAAAATGGCCCGAAATCTGAGGAAAATGCTTCCGAACGATGTCTATGAAAACTATTTCCCAAAGTTTGCCGCAAAAACGGCCACATTTTTTGACTACTTTCTACCAGTTGTACACAACGGTGTCCACAAACCTAAGGGTTATTGCAATGAATTGCCGATCGCTTTAAGTTATAATTCAACCCCAAATGGGAGACGACTGTTGGGTCAGTTGCAGACATTGGCCGGCATTGATGTGACGCCCGAAGCCCTTAACGCTGAGCAACAATACTATGAATTCATCGATGATATGAATAAATATCGATATTGTTCTCCATATTTGCTAACATAAGTCATACTCTATTCACAAGAATCGGCACTAAAAGGCATTTGTAATTAATATCATTAATTAATAAAAGTGAATGTACTCTAAATTGTATTTATATTTAACTATAAGTCAATTTGTTAAATAATTACAATTGATCTGTTAATCCTTGGATATATTGCTTAATACACTATTACTGTTATATCCTATAGTAAGTTATAATAAAAACCCTGAATACTTACAGTATCAATATTATAACGACAGTTTTAGTGTTATTAATTTAGTTACGGTAGTTATACGATATAAATCTAAAATGTAATTTTGCATAATTTAAACATTTTATTTTTTGTTATCTGATGTAATAAAAGGTCGACAAAACTCATATCACAATACATTGTAATGGTAACTATTGTTTGAAAATAAAACTATAATTAAATTATTTCACTGAACACATGAGTAAACGTTTGAATAATTAAATAACGATTATTTATTGCTAAATATTTAGTTATACCACAAAAATATACTTGATTTATAGATAAATAACAAAATAACGGAAAGTTTTTGTTTGATTTACACATCTATTGATAAATTATTGGGTAAAAATAAATATTTGCATATATTTTACAAAATATCTATATTTAAATTTAAGTGTTTACAAATTGAGCTGTAAATTGTATTGATATGTATTTATTTATGTATTATTTTACAACAAAACAATTGCTAATTTGAATTTAATATACTTTGAATGTGTTTAACAAAAACTAAATCAACTATTATTTTGTGCAAAAAATAATTAATATTCAAACAGAGAGAAGAGTTGTTTGAAAATGAATTGATCCGATAATGCATAGCATGTGATATCAATTGCAATCATTTGAAACATTTTATATAAAATATTATAATTTATATAATTTAATGCATTTTAGATAATATTACTTTTTTTGCGAAATGCAAAATTAATTTCTAATAAATGCTATTATTTTAAATACATTTCATTATATTACACGAAATTACTAGCAATTAAATGAAAATAATTAGCTATTATTTGGTATTATATGCGAAAAAAATTATGATTTTGTAATTAATAACCGATATTAAGGTCTATAAGTTTCCGTTACATATAAATGTTGATTGTTTTAAACAAAAAAAAATCATTATTTATAATAACTTTAAATAATACCACAATTACTAAACTTAAGTATATCTTACATAACATTAAATGAATGAACGAAATGACTGCAATGAAAGAGTTGTGTAGTTTTATTCAAACTTTGAAAACAATTCATACAATTGTATTATTAAAGGGAACAATAAGTTAAATAAGATTTAGTGAATTAAATTAAAATAAATAAATTGGTCGTTTGGAGAGATCAGTCGGCGTTTGACACCTATTTCTTCTTCAGGTAGTCATAAGTATAGGCGTAGGGATGAAAGTAACCATTAATGGGATATCTGGGAACCGTATACTCCCGGCCGTACTGTTGGATTCCACTGTACAACTGGTTATAGCCGTAACCATTAGCCGGGTATATGTTATAGCCGTACAGATCATAGCCGTATTGGGCCACTGATACGCCAATTAAGGCAAACAAAGCGATTACGAGCTAAATAATTAAATATATAAACATATTTTATGATTAATAAGTGGTAATTTAGTATTAGTCTCAAAACTTACCAAGATTTTCATTTTAAAGTTTTGTTTTCGTTTCTTAAACAGAAATATATTTCCAATCGAAGCGAATACTGAATTCAATGTCAGTGTTTGGGCTCTATTTATACCACAAACCCTCCGAAGTGGACAACTCTTTGCCCTTTTCCTGAAGCCATTGACATTTGAGAGGAACCGGCTTTCAATAAAAAGGTTTTCAAATTTAAATCATAAAAATTGTATTTTTAGTGTTATTACAGTTTTAGATATTAATTGAGTTTCATTTGCAATGAAGAATATTTTGTTTGTTTTAACGAATTCTGTTATATAAAAGTATTCACGGATTTAGTGTCTGTGAAAGTGAGTACTTATTATAAATTAGATTTCTTTGCATAATTTTTTGCCATCAATTAAAAGGTATAAACAGATTGCATGAAAAACATGAAAATACATATCAAAACCCGTGCTTTTAGTGCTCTTTGCTTTTATTTTTTATAATTAATCACTGGTTTAATGAATAAATGTTTGAAAATCCAAAAAGTTTATTACCCACCGGTTTCTACCATATTATGTCAATCATCAACGAGAGACTCGCATTAATAATAATGATTAGATAATAGAAAAATATGATCTAGATGGTTGCGAGCATTGACATTATCGTTCGGTTAAACTGTTATCAAATAAAACAAAAAGTTATTTTATTTTATTTTATTTATTTTTCGAAAACCAAAATAACATTTCGCTCACAAAAAATAATAATAATAATAATTCTCAATGTTTAACGTCATACATCATACAGAGTATACGGTAGACGTGTCCCGCAGAGAACTATTACGACTTGTGGCTCAGTCTACCGGTACCACCGGTGGGGTCGAGAGTTGT